ATTGTGGAGGGTGTTAATCATAGATATTATCATCTTCATTATTTTAATTTTAGAGAAATACATGAACAATTTCATTAATGTTAGAGAAATACATGAAACAGTTTCATTAATGTTAGAGAAATACATGAAACAGTTTCATTAATGTTAGAGAAATACATGAAACAGTTTCATTAAGTATTATATGAAACAATTTCACAACCATATATGAAACAACTTCATCAAAAAAATTATTTGATGAAACAATTTCACAAGATTAAACAATTTCATGAAAAAATTTCATAAGATTAAACAATGAAATCGATAGATGAAGGTAGTTTGCACGGTTTACACAAATGAAGGCGGTTTTCATATGATCACTCCTATATATATATATATATATATATATATATATATATATATATATATATAAAGACCATTAATAAAAATTGACAAAAATACGATATTACCTACTTATCAACAATTTTAATGAAATTATTTGAATTTATTTATTATTAAAGTTATAATTATTTTGAAGGAAAGTTAAGATGAGAAATGTAAGAAATGATCTTTACTYTTGGATGCACATTAGAATGAGATGCACCAAATCAATTTCCGTATAAGTGCAGTTTATAGGTGGGTTTGACATTAAAGGTTACTTAAAAACCATTTTTTATGCATAAAATATTGTTTATTAATGCATGTTAATTAAAACTCAAGATTACAAGTAGATTGCGCGTAAGTACAACTTATTAGAGCTTCATATCTGAATTCGTGTAACTAACTGCAGATAAACATAATCAAATACAAGATAAATATCACATTTTAAATATAAAAAATCTAAAATATAATTAGTATAATCATTGAGTTATAACATAATACTTAATTATAATTTTTATATAATGTTATATTATTAAATCAAAAATAAATTATTTTATTATTAAACTTAAATTAAATTATAATAAAAAATAAGTTAAAAATAAGAACTTTTAAATAGTTGATTTAATAAAACATTAAAATCGAAATGTACCTCGTTGCATTGTGTGAGTACCCTTTTAGTAATTTTTTAAGTAAAAAACTTTTACCAATTTTTAAACTTAATCATCTTAAAAATAACTAATATTTTAATCAAACAAATTATATATAAAAAAAAAAAAAAACATTTCATTTTCTATATTACCATAACCTAACACGTTCTTCTGTAACAAGTTATCTAAAAATCTCCAAATACACTTTAAAATTGATAATTTGTGGCTACCCTACCCATCCTAACTAAGGGGTCGTTTATTTACCCAGTAAGTGCTTATCAATAAAATTTAATATTATTATTTATTTATTGGGTAAGATTTTAGTCTATCAAAATGACATTGCAACAATTTACCCAATAAGTGATTACCGTGGTAAGAGTCGTCGCTCTCACTTACTGGGTAAAACTCTTGGTCTTTGTCTCGCTCTTTCCGAGTAAGATTGATGGTCCTTACCATATTCGTCCGATGAGGTAACGTGACTTGGTTAGCGCTTACCCGAGTAAGTATTTGGTAAACGACCCCTAAGGGTGTTAATAATTCAAGCATTTAATGAATAACTCAAGCTTATGATTCTCGAGCTCAAATCAATCTCGAACACCAAATAAAGCTTGTTTAACTTGTCAAGTCAAATTCCATCATATTGATATTCGACTCAGACTCATTGGAAAACTCGATTAACTTTTTAGACCCAAGCCATTCAAACATACATTTTCTCCAAACCAACACATGGAAGTCATGGATTCAAAAACTTCTATTATTGGGGACACATTTAAGAGTGTCAAAAAAAAAAATCTGAAACCAAATAACTCATTCGAACCAATACGATTTCGGGTTATTTTTCAGTTATCGAATAAATATAACTTATTCGGTTTGGTTTTCAATTAATTTTTGACTATTTTGGATAAACCGATACATCATATTGCCATGTACATTTTTTACTTTCCGACTAAACCGAAGCAAATAAACACACTACACATTAATAGTTAGTAGCAAGAAATTAGAGGGCAAGAAGTCGATAACTTAGATTCAGTTAAAAAGAAATCAGATAGCAAAAGGCTAAGAAATAAAAAATAAAAGACAAACTAGTAGCAAACCTTAAATCGAAATAACAAACCCAAATTAAATAGCAAATTAAAGAATCCTAAATCGAAAAACAATTAAGAAAAAGAAAATTAATATTTAACAAATAACAATAATTATAAATCTATAAAACAATAAAATGCAAAAGAAAGTTGAAAAAATTCAAAATAGTGATTAATCAAATCATTAACATTATAGCAAACAAAATAAAAATAAAATAAAATGATTTTCTACAAATCGAGACTTGAAAGTTAAGGACGTTTAATTAATCCTTACAGTAATGACTCATTGAAGTAAGAGTTGTAAATGAAATACATAAATTTAGATTTATAGCCTTACCTTTAATTGTTGGAGGCCTATTAATAATTTTGGTTAAAAAAAAAAATTAAAACGTACCGCTCATGCTTTATTTGGGTGTTTATTGGGATTAGCTTGTTAGGGGCCTGTACCCCCTACCCCTACCCCTTTAGCGTGCATCCGCCAATAAACATTTGAACTTCATATGTTAATGAATTTTGCAATCTAAATATTAAAAATTATCAAGCTCAAGCCAATAAACAAGCTAATCGATATCATATTTGATCCAATAAACGAACTTATTAAGCTCAAATTTTTGGTATAATTTATAATTCAAACTTGTTAAACGAGCATCAACCTCGAGCTCGAACACTATTTTGAAAAGGTTATCCGAACTCGAATACGATATCAGTTTTTCAAGCCGAACTCGAATATCTTACTATTCGACTCGGCTCTCCACTTGTTAACACCCTTATGATGAGAAGTTGGAAGCAAGTAATATTGGGATGTGAGACTAAGAGATATCTAGATTGCATAATACATGAGCAGGTTAAGCAGTACAACACAGTTTGAATCTCATTACACTATTAAAACTTCAAAACCTCCTCTCTATCTGTTGCTTCAAAACTGCAGAGAAAATAATAGACGGCCACCGTCTGAGCCACCCCGACTGCACCGGTCCCACAGTCATCATGGGGGAGGTAAATCAACAAGCAGCGAATCCGAATTTACTCCCTGGAAAAAGTAAGAAACAGAAATCCTACACTCAGAACACTAACATGCAACTTCATGGCTATAAAAGCAACCAAGAAACATATATACCACAAACAGAAGACAGTACTGAAATGAAATCTAAATCCAAAGCAGTCAACTGATCTTAATTATATACCCATTTATATATATATATATATATATATATATATATATAGAGAGAGAGAGAGAGAG